AAGACTCTGTGGGTCTCCTCCAACAAACTATGCTGTGAGGCTGGGAGTTTCTCCCAGCACTGCAACCCTCACAGGTTTTTTCAGTCAGAGATATTGAGGCTTTATTTCCGCCACTAGAACCCTGAGTTGTGCAGCCTGTCTCGCTCCCCAGTTGTTCCTCCAGGTTTATCCTCACGCAAATGTGGGACCACCTGGTCCACCAGTCATCACCTCATCTGTTCTGCCACCCTGCTGTGCATCCTTTCCACCCTGACTGCCCATCTCAGGCCCTCCTACCAGTCTGGATGAATGTTTCTTCTTTAACACTTTGGTTGCCAGAATTCCATACAGTTTGATTTTCTAGCAGTTCTGGTTATTTTTTTGTTTTTTAATTGGTTGTTGTCCTTCTTTTGGTTATGTGAGGAAGCAAAGCATATCTACCTATGCCTTTATCTTGGCTGGAAGTCCTATATCAATAATTTAAAAAAAACAACTCACAGCAAAGAAAAGCCAGGATCAGAGGTTTCACCAGTGAATTCTACCAAATATTTAAGGAAAAATTAATGTCAATCCTTCTTAAACTCTCCCCAAAAATTGAACAGAACAGGATACTCATAAACTCATTTTACAAAGCCAGCATTACCCTGATACCAAACCCAAAGACGCTATAAGAAAACAAAACTATAAGCCAATGTACATAAAACAGTAATAATGTGTTTACCAGTCATACTATATATTATAATAAAAATAAAGAGTGCAATACACCACCTTCATAGAATTAATGATAAAAATCACATGATCATGTCAGTATATGCAGAATAAGCATTTGACAAAATGAAACACCCTTTCATGACAAAAAAAAAGTTCTCAACAAACTTGTCAAAGGTACAAACTTATAATTAGAAGATGATTAAGGTCTGGGCATCCAATGTACAACATTGTGACTATACTTGACAATAATTCCTAGAGAGTAAACCTTAAATGTTCTCAACACACACACACACACACACACACACACACAAAATTGGTAATTATGTGAAGTGATGGAGGGGTTAACTTTCTACTCTGGTAAGATTTCAGAATACATATCAAAACATTACATTGTACACCTTAAATTTATACAATGTTACATGTTGATTATATTTCTATATGACTGGGGAAGGGGGAAAATGGACCAGAAGGAGAAAGAATTTAATTTCTGATAAATAAAAAGACAACAAATTAAAGTCCAGAATATGGAAGAAAAAAATTAAGTAGCAACACCAGTTTTTGTCTTGCCAGCGGCTCAGGCGCCTGACAAGGCTGTCCTCCAGTATATAAAAATCTAATGTTGGAAAGGGGGACTGAGCACGTGCACATGCCTGACACAAAGCTCCAAATCTCAGAGCAGGGAGGACTCTCAAGAATCACGTCGTCCATCCTTGCCTGTTAAAGACAAGGAACTGAGGTTTATGAAAGCGAAATGCCTGTGGTCACAAAAAATTGAGAAAAAATTAGAACTAGATTGTGAATTTCCAGCATTCTCAATCCTTGCACTTTGCCCACTACACCACACTACTCACTGAGATATATACAAGTGTGTATAGCTAATGGCAAAGAGATTCCCAAAGAAGAAACTACAACTAACAGACATGGCCATTCGCTCTCACTCAAGGAAGAACTGCACATGTGCACCAATCTGCAAGACCCAGGTGAACACAGAGTGCAGGGTGGGAGAGGAGAGAGGCCATTTCTTAATATTTAAATGTCTGCTCTGTTGAATATGGAGGCTATTGGCATAAAAGAAAAAGTTTTCCCCTTCCCCAGTTCCTCTTCTAATATCTAAAATGAATATGTATTCAGGGAAAAGTAAGAAGGCCATTTGCTCAAGACCAAGTTCTATTTCTAAAAAAGTGGTTATGATGATGACAATCATACCGTACCAGGGAATTCACTTTTTTCCTCCTAACTATCTAAAAACTACTTCTAGAGATGTGTTAAAACCACTTGTGCTTCCTGTTACATTTGATATACCTAGATCCTTGCAAATTCTAAATCTATATTTTTTCAAAATTCCAAGTGAGATAGAGTAAGCCCTTTAACTGCACTTAAGAAATGCAGTTTTATCAGACAGAGTCCATGACTTGACATACAGCAGGAAAGTGGCTGAACTCCCAATGAAAAAGAAATCCTCAGGCAGTATATAGCGCATTTTTCAGACTATAAGAAACACAGCCCCCCAAAATTTGGGAGGAATAATGGTTGTTAATGTTGCTGTTGAGTTCTGTTTACATTTACATTGGTGAAATATTATGTTATTTATGTTATTAAATATTTTACCACATTTTTTGCTTCAAACATTTTTTTCCTATTTTTCTCCTCTAAAACTTGGGTGCATCTTATGATCCGAAAAAATAGAGTACATTTCTATAAACTAAATGCCTTTTCATTCATAAAAGTTAAAAATAAAACAATAAACAATATCTTTAATAAAAGTCAAGTCACAAGTAAGAAACATAAAATGTGGAAGCAAACAACCCCACTCTTTAAATAAAGAAGGAAGGCCATCTATTCCAAGTAACTACACCCCACCCCCACCCCGCAAAAGGCACAGTAATGAGGCTCTCTCATACTTTTGGAAGGTGAATATATACATGCCAGGAGTAGCACTTCATTTATTTTTATATGGATAAATGTCCCCATAGTAACTAATTCAACTCATGAATTTTTCTTTTAGTTCAGTATATTAACAAGTTTAATACTATACTGGCCAGTTTCACTTCTGCTAATGCCACTTGAAAAGCCTGCTACTGCTATAGAAAGCATACTGTGCAAAAAGTGATTTTCCAAGTCAGAATGCCAAAATGTATCAAATTCAATATCCCTACATTCCTACTTCTAAAATAATTTCTAAAAATCAAATCTGGTAAAAAAAAATTAAAATTAAAAAATCTCGTTAACGGTTTGCCAAAAAGAAAACCACAAGAGGCAATAACAAAACACTTCTAATTAATCATTCTTTCTTTCATGTTTTACTATCATCCATTAACACTGTCTCCTCAAATCGTTAATTAGTGCCCAACAGATGCCAATATCCAAAAAACTAAGGAGCTGGCTTCAATGCAAATGGAACCACAGACCAGGTAATGCAGATGGACCCGAGTAGCCAGTGCCATCATCATGGAAGGGGCTGCCCCTTCCAACCAAGTGCTCACCACTTTCCACAACAGGGAAATGTGAACTTAACAATACCAGATCTTTCTGGTCTTTTTTTTTTTTTTTAGATTTTTTTATTGTTGTTCAAGTACAGTTTTCTGCCTTTCCCCCCATCCCAGCCCAACACTCCAGCCCTCCCCACCTCCCTCCCCTGTTTCCACTCGCCCTCCCTCCCCCATTATTGTCCCTGTGTCCTTTATACTTGTTCCTGCAAACCCTTCACCCTTTTCCCCCTGAAATTCCCTCCCCTCTCTGGTCTTTAAGGAAGTTGGAAATCTGCATTTCTATGCAAAAAAAAGTCTCCTAGTTTTTAAATACTGACTTTGTAAAAATTTGGCCCCAAAGCACATGCCTGTATCTGGGTCCAGTTGCCTGGTCTTTGGTTTGCAACCCTGGCTTATACAGAAATGCCTGTCTTAATAATTCCTACAACATCACCACAGATCTTCTGTGTTTAGAGGAGCCCCAAGCTGGGTATGATTAGCAGAAACAGAGACTAGTGGGAGCATGGTCACAGTGAATCGCACTCCATGCCACTGCACCCTGGACGGACTTCTGCGCTAGCATTGCCTTATTTGTGTAGGGGTCTGTCTACTTCTACAGGACTGGAAACTTCCTGCAGGCAAGGCCACATCTTATTCATCTTAGTTTTCCCAGCACTTGGCATATGAAAAGCACAAAATAAATATATTTGAAACAATAAATTAGTAAATGAATAAATAAATACTGAATGAGTGAAATCTCTGATGCCAATCCCCCTCCAGCCCTTTTTATCTAATATGAAACTTGGTTAAAAAGCTGTTCCCAGTAATTTCACTTTTCAAAACTGAGTTGCTCTATAACTGAGTAGATGAAATGGCTGCATATATTAATGTTTAAATTTGGACAGACTTTCTAAATTTTCATTGCTGGATTAAAGCCAAGAAGCAAGTATTTCAAAGCAATTATCACTAATTTCTTTTCTGTCATAATGAGACAGAAAAGAAGCCTCAAGAAGGTAGAAGGAGTGAGGAATGTGGAAGGGGTCCCCTCTCCTGTGTCTCCGTGGTGATGGAACGTCATGTGCTCACTTTGGACAGGTGAGTCTCTAGTGGGTTGTGGCTGTGGTTGTTGTCACTGTTGTTTTCACTGCACCTGAGGAAGCCACTTTTCTGCTGAACAGCTCCTCACAGCTAAGGTGGCAAGTGGAGGCTTGCAGGGAGTAGAGTGTGCCCAGGGGAGTTGGGTGGTGAGAACAAAAAGGAAAGTTTATTCCATGCTATTTCTGTACAAATCCTGATGTTTTTGGCCCAAGTTAAAAGGAGGCCTAATTTAAAGTCCCTGACATTTGTCGGCTAGTCAATATTTTTATTCTTTCTTCTGTCCTTTCCATATACACACCACTCTATACACTGTGGAGTCTACACTTTTTCTTCAATACAATCCTTAGAACAAAAATTTATGCTCTGTACCTATGTACAGCAATTTATTGTCTTGGCTATAAAAACTATTTCTGTATAGTTTTTAAAGAACAACTCAATGGGCACTTATAGCTTAATTGTCACCAAACAAGTATGAACCATAAATAAGTTTTCTATGATGTGTGGAGTTTGGCAATACCAAATGTGTGGTTTTTATTTAACTACTGCAGAAAGCTTAGATTTTCTAACCCAATACTTGGGATCCATGAGCTCACAACTAAGAATAACGTTCCAGGGATGATGTAAGAGAATATTTGAAGTACAAACAGCTCGGGAAATTAGTGATGCCAAAGTAAGCAGGGGAGGGCACAGAGAAGAGAAGCTCGAGGGCCTCATCCTAGGCACACAGTGCAGAAACACACTTACCAGAATAGGTGGCGGGGTTGCTGGAAGGCTTGAGCTTTGGGTGTTCCAACCTAGGTCTTCAGTTTGGGGAAGAAAAACGCCTCTCACTGAAGAAAAAACAGTTTTCAAGAACATTTTTAATTGAGACACTATTGTACTTGAGGTTCAAGGACAACCAAACACCAACTTCTTCCTTTTTACAGTTTAGATTTGGGCAGAATAGATGAGGTAGACTTGATTAGAAAATGCTTGCTACTTTATTCAGATATTTTACTTATATTAGCACCATAAGACTCTAACATAACAATTCTTCCCATTATTACATTTAGTGCACCCCTATATTATTTCCTCTCCTTTCTCAAGCAATTTTTAGTCTTTTCAAGATCCCTGTGAAACGGTTGTTTTTTGTTTTTTTAATATATTTTATTGATTATGCGATTACAGTTGTCCCATTACCTCCCCTTCATTCCCCCCCACCCTGCACACCCTCTCCTACCCACATTCCCCCCCCTTTAATTCATGTCCATGTGTCAAAAGTTCTTTAGCTTCTACATTTCCCATACTATTCTTACCCTCCCCCTGTCTATTTTCTACCTACCATCTATGCTACTTATGCTCCGTACCTTTCCCTCTCTCTCCCCCTCCCACTCCCACTCCCTGTTGCTAACCCTCCATGTGATCTCCATTTCAGTGGTTTTTGAAATTTTTTTTTCATTTTAATAAGAAAATGAATGGATGTTCCAACGCATTTGGTCAACACTAACAATGAATAAAGTTATGCAAAATGATTTTCTTTCTGGCAAAAAGTATCTTGAAAAATGGGCTGTGACACCAGAGATTTTGTCACTGTACCAACATTAAAGAGCACTAAAGTTAGAGTAGATTGTACAATTTAATTCAACAAAAATTCACTGAATCCTTCCTAGTTACTACAGACGTAGATGCAATTGAGGCTATAGACATTAATAAAGCCAAGTTTCTCCTGTGGAAGCATTTCACATGTCAGAGAGATAAATATGAATTATAAAATGATATAAGGGGCATATTTAAAATGTATGGAAACTCAGACAAAGGAAAAATCAATTTTGCCTAAAGGGGAGAAGGCATCAAAAGAAACAAAAGGAAGGGGTTGCCAGGAGGGTGAGCTGGTGTGTAAACCAAAAACAGAGGCAGAATCTCATTATTCACCTGTTCTTACTGGACTGACATAGAGGAATCTGTCAGAAGCCAAAAACCCTACTTGGTTTTAAGTATTTTCCGAAACTCTTTTTCAGTTTTGAATACAATTATCTTGTCTTCTATGGAAAGCAAGCAGTAAGAGATCAAGATGAACATATCTTTTGAGGGGATGTGCCTAGAAAGTTGCAGCTATTCAGAACTCTGAAGTTGGCATGGCAATAGAAATAGATTTTAGGTGGAAAATTCTGAGTAATTGAAATGTACATCTAATGAAAGGTCCAAACACCTGAATTAGTTTGTACTGAAATCCTGAAGTTTTTGTTGGACCTGCCTGGAAATTCTGAGAGGCTATCGACCTCTTTCTGAGGACTCCTTCTAGGAGGAAGCTCCACCCCCAGGCTCCACACAAAAGGAAGACCCCGCTGTGTTCTTTGTGGATTTAGTTTCCTAAACAACCTCACATTGCTTATAACACAACTTAATCTTCATACTATTCTTCTACCAGCCTGACCTTGGTGTTTGCATCTTCTATTCAGTTTAGGTTCCCATATCCCTCAGATCGTGACCTCTCAGCTATATCTTTCCTCTAATCCCAGTACCCAGATTCCTGGAACCTTCTACCTATATGCTATCTCCATAAGTAGACCCCAGCTCGTCCATATTATCTTTGCCAAAAGGACATCAGCAATTTCAGATTACAACAAGCCTCTTCTCTTTTCACTATTTTATCTTACTTAGGTATTCTAAAAAGAAGAAGTGAGCCCAGGGTACTCACACTGCTCTAAAATACAAAGACTCCCTAGTGTTTTAGAAGTGATGGCTTAATATCACTACCTCCACTGAAGAGAGAGATTCTCCACTTTAAAATCCTATGTAACTAATATAAAATTCAGGCTAATCTATGGCTCTGTATCAGCACACTGTTACATTAAAGAGACACCAGATGTTCAGCAGTCAAAATAACTGAAAAGTAATTCAAAGTTTTAGCTTAGCCCTCCAAAAATATCTTATTTAGGAAGTAAGAACTTATCATAGTAATATTTTGTTAAATTTTTTCTCTTTTGAGTTCTGGCCAAGATGGGGATGTAGGTAGAAACCCTTCGCTTCCTCACACAACCAAAAGGAGGATCACAACAAATGTAAGAACAACAAACAGCCAGAAGTGCCAGAAAATCAAACTGCATGGAACTCTGACAACCAAGGAATCAAAGAAAGAGCCAACTAGACTGATGTGCTGAGACAAAGAAGTATGACCCAAATGAAAGAACAGAACAAAATTCTAGAGAAAGAGCTAAGCAATGAGGAGATAGCCAACCTATCTGAGGTGGAATTCAAAACATTGGTAATCAAGATGCTCATAGAACTGATTGAGCTTGGTCGAAAAATGAAAGAACAAATGAAGGATACTCAAAGTGAAATAAAGCAAAATATTCAGGGGACCAACAGTGACAGGAAGGAAACCAGGACTCAAATCGACAATTTGGAACAAAAGGAAGAAATAAACATCCAACCAGAACAAAATGAAGAAACAAGAATTCAAAAAAATGAGGAGAGGCTTAGGAACCTCCAGGACAACTTTAAATGTTCCAAAATCTGGGTTGTATGGATGCCAGAAGGAGAAGAGGAAGAGCAAGAAATTGAAAACTTCTTTGGACAAATAAAGAAGTAGAACTTTCCCAACCTGGGAAAGGAAATAGACTTCCAGGAAGTCCAGGAAGCTCAGAGAGTCCCCAAAAAATTGGACCCAAAGAAGAACACACAAAGACACATCATCATTATGTTACCCAAGATTAAAAATAAAGAGAGAATCTTAAAAGCAGCAAGAGGAAAGGAGACAGTTACCTACAAAGGAGTTCCCATAAGACTATCAGCTGATTTCTCAAAAGAAACCTCACAGGCAAGAAGGGGCTGGAAAGAAGTATTCCAAGTCATGAAAGGCAAGGACCTACATCTAAGATGACTCTATCCAGCAAAGCAATCCTTTAGAATGGAAGGGCAGATGAAGTGCTTCCCAGATAAGGCCAAGTTAAAGGAGTTCATCATCACCAAGTCCTTATATCAAATATTAAAAGGACATATCTAAGAAAAAGAAGATGAAAAATATGAACAGAAAAATGACAACAAACTCACAACTATCAACAACTGAACCTAAAACAACAACAACAACAACAACAAAAACTAAGCAAGCAACTAGAACAGGAACAGTATCAAAGAAATGGACATCACATGGAGGGTTATCGGTGGGGAGGGGGAGGGGAAGAATGGGGGGAAAGGTACAGGGAACAAGAAGCATAATTGGTAGGCATAAAATAGATGGGGAGAGGTTAAGAATGGTGTAGGAAACAGATAAGTCAAAAAACTTACATGTACAACCCATGAACATGACCTAAGGGGGAGGAATGCTGGAGAGCTGGGGGGTGTGGGGCAGAGGGGGCATTAAGGGGGAAAATTTGAAAAACTGTAATAGCATAATCAATAAAATATACTTAAAATTTTTTTTCTCTTTTCTTTCTCTCTTGTGTCTACTTTTGTTTACACACACACACACACACACACACACACACACACACACAACCTAGATAGTAGCTGCCTAAAAATAAAGAGACTTCTTTTCCCTTCAAGATGTGTAGCAGTTGGAGAGGCTGTAAAAATGTGTCATTGTTAGTATTGCCTCTCACTTGTGGATTTTCCTCCTTGACAGCTGGTACTTCTCCTATGTGGTCATTTCAGTAAAATATACTCTGGACATTTTAAAAGTTAAAATCCTGAGTGAAGAAACTGTGGAGAAGTAGCCCTGGCTGGGTGGCTCAGTTGGTTGAAGCACTGTCCCATACAACAAAAGGTTGCAGGTTCAATTCCAGGTCAGGGCATATACCTAGCTTATGGGTTCAATTCCCAGTCAGGGGTGCATACGGCAGGCAAATGATCAATGCTTCTCTCTCACATCGATGTCTGTCTCTCTCCTTCCTTTCCTCTCTCTCAAAAATCAATGAAAATATTCTGGGGTGAGAGAAAAAGAAAGGAAGAAAGGAGGAAAGGAAGGAGGGGAGGGAGGGAAGGGAAGGGGAGTAAAAGAAAGGAAGGAGGGAGGGAGGGAGGATGGGAAGATATCGTGGAGAAGTAAACATGAAGTAGCAATTAATTAACAGGACCCCATGTTTCTAATGAGTTCCACTCTTGCACACTGGTGACCAGACTCAGCAAACTTTAGTCCCGGGCTGACTAGGTCACTCTTTAGCCTCCAAATTAAGAGCAGTCAGCCTCTCCTTGCTGATCCCAGATTCACATGTTGATCGTGGATCATAACTGGGTCTCTACAGCTATCTGCATTCTAGCTTAGTATTAGATTCTCTGGGATTCTGCCCAGCACCCAGTATCAGTTTGTCTTTGACCATGGTCTTCCATCAGCTTTCCTGAGCTGCTCCTTCTCCTGCTCTCTGTCTGGCTTTTAAGCCTTTCTCAGCTGAATTGCCTCTGGAGAGTTATTGTCTTGGTTGCTAGGGCAGCACTACAGCCTGTTTCCAGTCATACTCCCAGGTACTCCTCTAATTTTTCTAATACTCTGCTTCCATATCTCTAAACTATTTCTAGTTATCATGCTGTTCTCTGCAAAAGAGTGGCCTTCTTTCTGCAAGTATTCCAGAGAGCCCTTGATTAATCTATCCCAAATAGCTACATGGCTAGCATTCCATTCATATCAGGATGGCTCCTATCTCATGCAGTCTAGAGAATGCTCAGAACTGCATATACTCAGGGAAACTAGTTTCTACCAGATCATGTATGAAAAGGAACTAAAACTATATAAGGACTTCATGATCGATATCAAACTCACCATTGATAAGCTGCAGGGAGTCAGGATCTAGATTCAAAGAGGAGTTCCTCAGCAAAAAGTTTTGATGCAGAGTCTCAGCAATATAATCTCTGAAGTTACTAATCGTATAAGCAGCAGTGGGTTTATCATCCAATTCCACAAGACCGTGGTTTTCCACCTTGTTGGAGTGAAGACTGATCAGGTCCCAGGTGGCATTGCTGATGGCTTCACCATTGAAGGTAACTTCATAGTGAACATCGGTGCCACTACAGATAGAAAGAGGGAACAGCTTAGGCCCTGCTAAGGAAGCACAAAGGAGCTATGAACCCAAGGAGAACAATCATTAGACCTAGAGGGAGAGTTTCAAAAAGCAAGGTTTCACCACCATCCTCTAGGAGCAAAATGGTTCTCAAACCTAAGCATAAAAATAAATTAAATACTCCTTCCTCTGAACTTATTTATATATTCTTATATATTCCTTGATTATAGGCTTGGTTGTTTTGTAAAAAAAGATTTCATTTACAGTGACTGTCTTTCAGTTTCTTCTTCAGTTTCTATCCCCAATGTTTAGCTTGGTGCCTGGGACTGAGGGATACTCAGTACCTATTAAATGAACAGAAATCTATACTTATCTGAATATAAAAAGAAAACTGCAGCCTAATGAAGGTATTCACATACCTAAAGAAAAAGTAGCAACATAATGACAATGGTCTCATGAGGTCTAGGAAAAATATGAAATCCTTCTCACCAGTGTATTGTGGCTTCCTCATAAGACAGCCCTGACATAGCTATCCCTAAACTGTGGATAGCTATGTCAGGCTAGCATGGCTTGATGATACTGGCCACTAAAATCACCAACTTCCTTTTTCTGATTTCATGTTTGCAAAGGGAACTTTTGATTAAAACTACATACAGATTTTCCTATGGGAAAAGAATGCATGAGCCAGCTAATGCAATAATTGGTCAATTGGCAGACATATTTCTCGCCTTAGATAGATCAATTGGCAACCTAGAGAATGCAGTGTATTTTGTGGTTTGGCAAGCCACAAAACTGACCTTAAGAGACCTCTCCCAGTGCTGGACCTGCCCTGGGCCTGCTTGCTGCAGATCGCACCCTGGACGACACGGGACACCATGAAGGTGACATCCTTCACCTGCCATTCAAGCAGCCAGGCCTCTTTGAATTTCCTGCCTCACCCTGAGTAATTTCAGTAAGGTTTTCCTCCCAGATATGATAAGCTTCCACTTCCAATGGGGTGGTTTGGGCACTTTAAAATGGTAACTGAGCATTTTGACACCTGCTGCTCTGAATGGTAAGACATCTGCTTGTCATCTATAATGTCCCTCAACCACTTAATTTTTCATGTCAGCATATCTTGATTTGTGCATAATTCCTGATATTTTTTGTAGAGGAATAAATTCAGTAAAATATGCTAAAATAACCAAATGATGGTTCCAACGTGGAATAAAACAGTAAGAGGGACACCTACTGGTCAAAACTCGCTATACCAGATGTGTCCGCAGCATCTAGCACAATGCCTGGCTCACAGCAGTTCAATAAACATATTTGAAAATACTGAAAATACAAATGGTTTATTTTATTCACTAATACATGCAGATAAGAAAACTGAGTTTATACCACCTAAATGACAGTATGTGATATTCCTTACTTAATCCAAAGGATTTTCAGTCTCTAAATATGAAAGAGTAATTTTTTACCCTAAAAAGTATACATTTCTTCATACAATTGTGTCTTCTGAGCAATCATTTAGAGGCATGGCTTCACAGCCAGAACACAACCCTGTGCACATGTGCATGTTCTTCCCAAGCTCTGTGGAATGGACCGTGCCCGTATCTGCAGAAAGGTGGACTTCTCCTGGGGTCTTTGTACAACATATTAGCATGTTACCATGGCTCCACAACAGGAAACAGCCACAAGGAAACACTGGAGAAGAAAAGGCTGTACCAGTTAGCACCTGAGTGGGCTTCTGGGCCATGAGAAAATCAGAGGAGAGGCAAGCCTTCACTGGGAACCTATGATGTGCCTTGTATGACTTGTAAATATATGGAGAAGATCAAGAGAAATATTCATGGATCGACAAATCTATGCAAATCAGGCAGTCTGGGTTAGATTACTGGCCTTCCTTTGTATTGGCAAAATAAAATTTGTCTTCCAAACGTTTCCCTTGAACATTATAAAATGACACTTCTATTATGATCTACCTTGTCCAGTGAGAATAAATTAATTAATGAAGATAAAAATCCTCAGAAAAATGCTGCAATTTATTACCTTTTTTGGATAGTGTTTTTAAAAGATTTTATTTATTTATTTTTACAGAGGGGCAGAAGGAGAGAAACATCAGTGTGCCAGAGATACATGGATTGGTTGCCTCTCTCACACCCCCAACTAGGGACCTGGCCCGCAACCCAGACATGTGCCCCAACCAGGAATCAAACCAGCGACCCTTGGGTTTGCAGGGCAGCATTCAATCCACTGAGCTACACCAGCCAGGGCACCATGTTTTTATCCTGGAAAGAGAACTCAAAGAAATATTTGAGGTATCAGGAAACCATCTATTCTCAGAGCCAAGCACTTTACTGTGACTCAGAACAGACTGAGCTCTGGCATGGCAGATGGGGTACGGAGATGGCAACAGAAGAGAAGAGAGCCAGGAGGCCCAGGGAGTGCCTAAGAAGTCGAAAGCACGTTGGTAGACAAACATGATCTGACTGGGGAGAGCTGGGCCGGCTCTCTGCGCTAAGTCCAAGGTAACGGACCAGCATGCACCATCAGTCATCTTTCCTCTTCCAAACTAGACTGAAACAACTGCTTTAAAGAGGAAAGTTTCTCTGTCTGACAGCTATTTCCAGATTTCAATCACGTGGAGGTGAAATTTTCCCTATCTCAGTCTCTCACCTCAAATGCCCTTGTTGGCTGTTTGACATGTGCAAATTTTAAATAGAAAAAAATAATGCAACCTCATCTCATTAAGATTAATCAAAATAAAGGTATTTCAGAGAAACTCAGATATCCCTTCTTCTATGAAACTTCTATTAGGAAGAAGAAACACACTTACAAAGCCTGGAGCTGAATTTATGAAGTGTGTATACCAGTGTGTATACCAGTGTACATGTTGTTGGTTCACTTCAATGAGCCCTGCTAACTTAAAATAACATGTGCATCTTGAAGGAGGTACAAAGCAAATGGAAGATTTCATGTGCATATAAATGTTTATGTCTATAGTATTTTGTTACACTATGTTTATAATGTGTAATATTTATAAATGTCTAGAAAGAGATTATGCATCATGTAAATAGACTATTTTTGTGCCACACATTCATTTATTCACAGCTCAGAGCAAAAGTATACCAAGAAGTTATGAATAAATTTCATCAATTGCCCAGTACCTGCCAATACTGAACAATTTTGGAAATTGTACCTAGAAAATCTAATGGCTTCATATTGAATTGTTGTCTGTGTCCCCAGAGAGGACTTAGCACTCAGCAACCAGATACTCTTCTTTCGACCACGGGTGAGGGCAGAGTCAGGGTTGTTGTACATGTTGACAAAGGGGCGGCAGTTAAACAATCAGGGTTGTTGGCTGAGTCGAGACCAGCAACACACATGCCTACAGTATATACACACGGAGCACTTCACACGTGCTCAGAGCACAGAAACCTAAATTCTGATCACCTCGGTCAAGACATCTCATACCTCCCAGTCACATAACTTAGAGCAAATTAATTTGCCTCTCTGAAGCAGAATTTCCCCACCACCAAAATAGAATGAATATTAATTCTCATTTTCACTATCCCACAGGGACATAAAAAAGTAAAATGAAAAAAACAAAAAAAATCCAATATTTAAACATATCTCTGAAAGTATTTTTCATTGGACTGGGTTCCTAGACAGTGGATGCCAACAGTTACTAATTTCTGTAGACACAGGATCTGCCTAAATAGTAGGCACTCAGTAAATACTTGCTAAAATGATATAAATGAAAATGAGGAAGTCAGAAAGCCTTTTCCAAATATAAGGTAAACATGCTCATAGTTAGCCTATGGATACACTTCATAAATTCTATATTATATCTATTGATCTTCCAAAAGAAAGCAGAGTTTCAATAAATTTGGAATCCAAAAGCAAAAAAATGACAAGCAACCTTCACCAGGGGTGTTGACTATGATTTTCTATTGACTGTGCTTCCTGTAAAAAATTCTGGAGACCAGCTATTTTTGCAAACGAACTCTTATAAAGATCAGCTTTCTTCCCTTCATTTACCACTGCAAGTGACTTTTGATTATATTATTGAATGCATAGCATGTTTGAAAGTGTTCAGATTAATGCAAGTTTTTATTCCTATTTTGAGTGTGACTCAATACAGGTAGGGCAAAAGTAGGTTTACAGTCATTTTTATGGAAATAATACAATAATTAGTAAATAATAACACAAGAGCGAATTCTGTTTTGCATACTCACAGCTGTAAACCAACATTTGCTTCCCTGACCCACCCCACACTTAAGAGAACTTGTCGGTTACCAGTCTGTAACAGAGGTCTGTGCACCTCTGCCCACGAGCTAAATCCAGCCTGCTGCCACCAAGTGATGGATTTTATGCTTTTGAATGGTTGAAAAAAATCTAAAGAAAAACATTCTGTGATGTTGCAAACTGCCCTGCCTGGTTTCAGAAGCTGTAACCACCCCATGGCTAAGGCTGAGTGAGTGACCTTTGGACCAGAAGCCACTAAGGAGACACAGCTTATCTCCCTGGCAGGGGTGCAGCTTCTGCTCCTTTTACTTCACCCTGCCTGGACCCCAATGCTTTATCAGTTAGCCAATGACAGGTAAGATTCCCCAAGGGGGGAACAATCTAAGACAGGCATGATCACAGGGAGGCCCCAGGGAAGGACTTGGGGGGCTATAGCAAAAGGGGGTGATGGACCCTCACCCCTTGGCTTTGACATAGCTTAAGTCCTCATTCTGTCTGCAGGAAGTCTCCCAATCTCTTGGCTGCCTTACTTCCCCTGCCTGACTTATGCCTGAAACAATGCTGGAGGTAGGTGCAGCCCTGTGCTGGAAAGGGCGGGTTCCCAGGGTGATCAGGCCTAAAAAAGAATATGTAAAATCCTGTGAAACCTGCTTTGTTTAGAATGTTCTCAATTAAATAATAAGGGTCCGAGCAAGAAATGAGTTTGTTCCTCAAAGTTTTATGGCTCTTTAGCTATCTGACCCTGACTCAAAATAGGCCCTCAGAGTTCTTTGTATGTTATCTATTGTTTGATCCTTACTGCCTGATGATGATTAATGAGCTTTACCTGTATTCCTGTGCAAAACAAACCCAATACAAGCCCGTTGAGTAAAAGGCTCTTGGCCCTTCTCCTCTGGGAGATCAGCCACCTTTTCTCCCCAAGCAGATCATGTCTTGGTAGACTTATTCTCATCTGCGGTGGATGGTGGGGCTCTGCGGGTGAAGCCCCCTCACTCTGTGACATGTGAAATTATATGAAATTTATATTTCAGTGTCCATAATAAGATCTATTCAAACACAGCCACATTCATTTGTTTTCAATGCATTGCCTGTATCCACTTTCATCCCAGAGTGGCAGAGCTGAATAGCTGCAACAGAGACCATACAGCCTGAAAAGTTTAAAATATCTACTATCCGACCCCGAACAAAAAAATTCTGTCAACCCCCCATCTGTACAAAGATGGTTACTGATGTTGGAAGTGGTAAAGGATTGAGACAGGCTCCCTTGAACCTAGGTCCACCACCTTTTCTAAACTAACTGCTCATTCATTGGATAGCATAGAAAGTACTAAAAAGTACTCTACCTGCCATTTTCCTTGGGGAACCTGAAAATAAAAATTGAAAGTGTTAAGCAGAACTCAAAACAGTTATATTTGCCACACAATTGATCAAAATACAACTTCTTAATAAATCTCCTCTGAAATGTTTCTTTAAATGAAAATGTGTGCATAGTATCAGAAGCTGTCAAATTCCTGTGGGTTTCAGGAAGTGAGCAAAGGTGGAGAACATATTCTATTTTAAAATAAATAGTCTTTACTATCTTTAGACTTTGTTAAAATACTTTTAGAAGAATTCATATAAGTTTATCTTTATAAACAAACCTTTTCAGTACGTCAGCAGGGGACTCCAGTAGCTGGCATTAACACAATTGGGAACACTTTTAGAGAGATACAATGTGTTACGTAGTATTGAAATAAATGAAAAATCAGGTAATATACAATAAAGTTCTAAGGGGCTGGAAGGGGCCAGGACTGACTAACCTATAGGATATTGCATAACCATTAATATTTATTTATTAATAAAGCAAAGAGCTATAAAGTCAGACACTTTGTTTCAAATGTATAAGCTAATTTACAGGCTCTCTGTCTCAGCTCAAACTTCATCCCTTTAAACCTGTTGGCTTCTCTTTGAAATGAGTATTAATAATAACATTTATTCTGAGGATACTGGAGATTAAGTCAGCTCAGGAATGTGAAGGGCCTAATGCAAAATATTCACTCAGTGTTCTCAGGTATTATACAGCATGTCTTAAGCAGGGAAGAAATACCTTCAAAAGAGGTCTCTGATTGACTCAGAACTATTATGTTAGAAAAGAAGGTGAATGCAGAGTTGCCTTACATCAGGACCTCCAAGTCCCCTCAACAGAATATTGAGAAGCTTCAGTAGGACTTCAAGCTACACCTAATCTGACTACAGGCACCCCTCAGTGCCAAATAACAGCAGTGTAACATGCCAGCAGCAAGGTGAAGACATGAATTCCTAAGTTCTTACCCTGGCCCCACTGTAAATCCAGTATGCATTATTGTACTATTAGATATACAGGGTCTGGCCTGTATAAAGCCTGCCTGAGTGCAGTCAATAGGGTAATAATATGGGTGTGATAATTTATAGTTTTAATTAGACCACTTCATCTAAAATGTCATATGGTGTGCTTCAGCAACATACTATTATGTTACAGATTACATGTTTACAATTTTGTAATAAAAGATTTTGTAATAAAAACAGGGCATTATTTGTGCTGGATCCTATAGTGTACATTATTATTATTCAGATTTAGTATACAGATCTTGAATTATTATTTTGCCTTTGGTAACTTACTTTTCTCACCTGAAATACTAGCATTAGGAATGTAAATTTACCAGAAGTAGCATTAAAAAACAGCATCAAGTGATTTTGAATTATCGGTGTATATATAATGTACACTAAAGGGATACTGCACTTGATATAAACAATGCTACTAAACATGCACTTTTAGAGGAAGTCTGTTTACCTGAAGTCAAGTACACGGATGTCCTTGTAGCCTGGTAACCCAGTAAATGCTTGTTCAACCTGTTAAAAATAAAAATAAAATTTATAACTATGTAGAAATGTGGAAAAGGATGTAGAAAATAATGCTTTGAGAAATAGAATATAAAGTGCACTGTTTACAACTCTTAGAATCTTGAATACATACAGATACACATGAATCCAAAAGTTATTAAGAAAATTCTAATAATTACAGTGTTCGAATATGTTAGATAATATGTCTAATAATTACAATGTTAGAATAGAATGGAGTACAATGCTAGAATTATAATAATGTCTAATAATTACAATGTTAGAAAATGTTAGATTACAATGTCTAAATGTTAGAAAATAGTGTTTACAACACTGATACAGTTTTTTGTCTTTTAAGTTTCTAATACGCTGTAATATTAGTTTTTGTTCGAATTATAAAAAGCATACTTCTTATTGGCAATGCACTAGTGTTTCCCTTACATGATGCAATGTGAAAAAAAAGCATTAGTTTCAAAAGAAGCTATAACAGTATTTTTAAATGTCATAGTTTGGATTAGAAATCTGGCTTCAACACACACAGTAACAAACACTCGGGTGCTTGTTTCTTAAAAGTTGTCTGTGATGTCTGTCTCTTGTTCCTACAATACAAGGGAACTGTGGACACAGTCAACATGAGGACGAAATCTGACCCTTGCCAGAGTAGCTCAGTTGGTTGGAGCACCGTCCTGTACAGCAACAGGTTATGGGTTCACTACTCAGTCGGGGCATGCATGGGAGGCAACCAATTGATGTTTCTCTCTCACATTCTCTCTCTCTCTCTCTTTCTCTCTTTCTTGCTCTCTTTCCTTCCTCTCTCTTTGAAATCAATAAACATATTTCTTTTAATTTTTTAAAAAATCTGTAGGACTGGATTAAGCCCCCAGGAGAGGCCCTGTTCACTGGTTGTCACAAAGGAGATTATGAATCAGTGACTGGGTAACTTCTCTGGTCAGAAGATCCATTTATGAGCACCCCATCTGCAGGAACCAGTTTTATTACTGAGTCTTTAACATCCCACCAAGTAAATCAGTATCTGCTTAGTGACTGGAGCAGGAAAAAAGGAATTCTAGTCTGGACTAAATATCTAAAAATAATCATGTTATGCACAAATACCAAATGTTTAACAGAATTTAACATTTAGTCCACCACTCTCCAGAAGATTTGATCCAGATAAGTCCTCTGAGGCCAACAGCAGAAGAAGGGAAGCAAGTTGTTAGTGTACTTTGGAAACTATTAGTGGAGCTTTAGGCAACTGCTTTTAAAACTAAGCCCTCATATAATCAAGAGAGTGTGATTTCTGAAACGTCTGGGTTTAAAACAAAACATAAAGTCATAGATACAAAGAACGTTTTGATGGTTGCCAAGCGGGAGGTGGGTTTGGTGGATAAGAAAAAGGTGAAGGGATTAACAAGCACAAAATTGTTGTTACAGAACAGTCACGGGGATGTGAAGTTCAGCATGGGGAATATAGTCAACAATATCGTAAGAACTACGTATGGTGCCAAGTGGATACTACGTTTACTGGGGTGATCACTTTGTAAATTATGTAAGTGTCTAACCACTATGCTGTAGAGCTGAAACTAATATAATGTTGAATGTCACTGTAATTGAAATAAATAATCAAACAAATAAATTTTGGTACACTGAATATCTTCATGCCTTAAGAATAAAGAATCCAAACACATGCAACTTTCTGACTATAATAATTTGCCTTGTTTATTCTCTGAGAAGAAACAGAGTCTTGCTATAATTCTTAGAGGGTGGGGGTGGGGATGGGACCCTCAGGGCAAGGAATCTGAAGACTGAGGGATAAAGTCCCAGGTGCTATTGCTGGGAAAGGGGCTGTGCACGTCTCTTTTATAAAATGAATGCTGCCCCGCTCACCAACCACGTCAGCTTTCGTAAGATTAAAATGAATGTAGCTGAAAGTACTCCATTAACTGCAAAATGTTGTATAATTGCACATTACTATTATTACTAAACTCATCTTACTTTAAGTTTTGCCATCTCTTGAGTCTAAACACATACAGATATTCTAATCCATCATATCCAGTTAGTTTCTACACAGGTGTTCGGTTGTAAGAAGTCATTCCACTTTACTAACATCAAGATTAATAATAGGTACCAGGTATTGAGTGACTGCTGTGTACTTAGTGCTTTGCAGTGTTACTTCCAATCCTTGCAACAATCCCAAGAGATACATATTTTCCGGATTTTATAGATGTCAACTAACTTGCCCCCTGGTAATGCATTAGGTAAGTGACTGAATCAGAATTTATTTAATCGAAATGTCTCTAACACTGAACTCAGTATTTTTCTCATTGAATCATATGCCTCTTCCTCTTTTCCCTGACACACAATAAATGCAGTTGAGAACTAGAACCAGGACTGAGAAAACAGTGAGGCCCACCACAACTTCTCACCTGAGTTAGGGTGAAGGGGGCTCTGTACGATGTAAGGAAAGGAACACTCTGAAAAGAAGGTGGAGATCTGATTTCCCCTTCTACTCCTAGAAGCTGAAATGACCATGAACTAGTTACTTAATCTCCTAGGCCTCATGTGTGAAACGGAAACACGTGCCCACATCAGCAAGCTGACATCAGCAAGCAGGACACCCAGCAGCCTACAGAACACGGAGCAGTATGCCAGGACCCTGTCTGTGCTCAGACTGTGGCTGGCTTCAAGCCTGAACTTTCCCTCTCTGATGTCATACTTGGCGTTGTCCCAAGCTTATCTTATTCTTACTCTTCACCTCAGGAAAAGAAGGAGAAAGAAGGAGGATGAGGAGGAGAAGAAGGAGGAAGAAGAAGGAAGGAGAGGTGGGGTAGGAGGAGCTCCTGAGCCTCAACGCCCCAGGCAGGTTTTGTTTTTCTCTGTGTGTCTTCCAACATTATCTAAGCAATGATATTGAAGGAACAATCCCTGTGACTGTGCCCTCAAGGGAGAGAGCTTGAGAACCCCCTTCTGTTGGTAGTAAACACGGAAAGAGGATCTTACAGAGACTCACCCCCGACACTGCTGGGCCACACGTGGCTACTGGCAGACATCTGGTTCCAGGTGAAGGGACAGGGGATGCAGAGACAGGCCAGGGAACCAACTGTTTCAAGGTAGGCCCAGACTCTTCATTAGCTTCAAACCACCTCAAGCCAACAGCTACCTACCTCCTAAAGTCCCCAATGGAGATGTTTTTCAGAGTGTTTATTGGATGACCTCCAAATATGCAGTACATTTGTTTACTCAAACACTGAGGCTTATTAACGGTTCTTTAATCCAAGGGCAGAGAAAGCCAGACAGCTGATCTAAGACCCTGACTGATGCCAGGTGGCCTCTGGCCTGGCTGACATTTCTTCCACATTCCGTACACCTCACAACTTGGCCACACAGCTAGGAAAATTAATCGTCTGGCCTACATGCCAGTGTCTGATGGCTACAATGATGCTGCATGGCTGGAGGTGCATATTTTTATTTCTCATCTAGACACAGTGTCTAGGGAAGGAAATTAGTCCAAGGTAATGGAATTGAAAAATGTGGCCAAGAAGAACCCCCTCAAGAGGAAATGGAAGAAATAAACAGGAAGGAGTGGAGTGTCCTGTAATTGGGCAGGGAGGGAGATGGGCACTCAGTGCCTTACAGCAAGGGACACGAGAAGGGAGACAGCATGGTCATTTTTGACTGAAGGAACCTTGAGTTCAAGCCCTATATAGAATTCTTCCAGAAAGGAAAGTTGTGGGCTAGTCTAATTTAATGTTTCCTGAAGAAAACACTACATTGTATGTAGTTTCTCAAAGATGCTCATTTCTCCAAGTACTGTTAGGTTAAAACCATGCCATGGAACACATTCTTCCTTGGCTTTGCAGCGAAAGTTGGAAATAGCATTATGTGTTAGATGGTGAATGTATGAAGATTTTGTTTCAATGAAATGACTCATCTGTCTTGCTGTGAACTTTTCACAGAGCTTTCTGAAGAAATGCCTAAGTTACCACCCTGGAATCAAGCAGATGAAGAGCTTGAGTCCTAAACCCACCTTTAAGCAATGTTATGAATATGGGAAATTTACAACCCAAGAAAACTGTCTTGCTTAAAAAAAAAAAAAAAGAATAAAAACAAGCCAAAATCGCCCACCTCTGAAATAAACTCTTCTACCAGGCTCTGGTGGTGGAAACTAGAGGCATCCTGTAGCTCTTCCTTGTACTGCTCCCCTAAAAGGTGGATACTGAATTCTGCAACCTGCTCCGCTGCTGGTTTTGTAGACTCTTCTATCGCAGTCTCAATTTCATTGCTAATCTGAATTTTTAGGGAAAGAAAAATAAATGTTAATGTTTACTTATTCAGTCAACAAATACATACTGGTTGCCTATTATATGCCTGATGCTATCTATGCCAAAGACAACTTCTGATGATAATCTTTCATACAGTGTTGGACTTTGGTACTAACTGGGTAGACTTCAAGATGTAGGTTAATATTAAAATTATGGTACATTTGTACATTCTTTTGAACACACAATGATCAGTTCAGGGAAAGAGAAAAATTTTCAAAAATAACCACCAAATTTGACCATCTGTGAGTTAAAATTGAGTCGGCCATGCTAAAATTATTATATAAAAATAGCCTAGAGGCATGATTCTCAACACTGTTTATGTTTTTACAAATTCTTTGATGTATTGGTTAATGGATGACAGCTGGGTTCTCAAACCTGCTTCTGCATTAATTGGTTCCAATATGTCATTGTAGTTTAAGTATGTGAAGAAAATCTAGCCATCCAGAAATGTATTGCAGAAGAGAGGAATATATTAACAGCCTTTTCAGGTAACTGGATTTCTTTTTAGGTACTACACCAAGCTCAATAGGAACAGGTGGTAGTTTCTTAATGGTTTGCTGCTACGTGGAATCTGAAACCATACCAGCACATTTTTGTACTGTGATATTATTAGAATCCACGTCTTCTAGTGGCCAAAGCTGGCATAAAGAGAGCAACAAAATGAATACTGAATTATAATCCAAAGAATAAACATCCATGTACCCGTACTAATATGATCTAATAAACAAATATATAAGAAGTGACAATAGTTCCTCATTAAAGAATTCCAATTAATAAATGTGGAAGGAATGAGGGAAATAGAACATCACTACTAGAACATACAGTAATAACTGCTGCATGCAAGATACACCTGAGTTCATCTATTCCCAGGAATCAGGAATAGAATATAAATCAGTAAGGGGATCATTTGAATTACAATGTTCTCATGTTCCCATATTGCTCAGGACAAAGATTTTAAAACACTTAAATTTTGCTAAATTAAATACACATTATACCATAGTATAACTACAAACAAAACAGAAATAAAGTATATGATTTCTAAAATGGTAGGTGAAAAAAATGTACTAGGAAAAACCAAAATGTAAAATTGTATCTTGGGCTTTATTTTGAACTAATTCTTAATTTTTAACTAGGCAACCTAATTCTTATTAGGAATCTCAATAGTGTTTTGTTCTATAAATTGGCTTCAAATGATCCTTTCTGTTTTGGACATTAATGTTCCAATTGATTACACACAATTCCTTCATTTCTACTACAGTGAATTTGATCTCATTCTATAAATGTTTCCAGACCTAATCATAATTATTCCTCCTCAAGTTCAGAAGTATAGTATCATTTTTTATTCACTCATTCATTCACAAATATTTATCAACTGGTGATATTTTTAGCACCATGAACTTTGTTTTGGAGACAGTGGTACTAAAGGTAAAAATACTGAGTTGGCATCAACACAGAAATCCCAGCTACTAATGGCCTTTTTCAGTGATAGGGAGGGTGGTGGGGCAAAGTGGTTGACTTATTCTGATTTCACAAAAGATGAAAGGTTCAAGTTTGGAAAGAGAAAGTGCCAGGTAACTGAATTGCACCTTTTTAGGGAATATGTTCAGAGTTTGCTGTATATTAAGTAATCAAGGATTTATGAACCTCAAAATTTTAAAAATACATATTATACAAAACTCCTTACAAAATGTTTCTATCTTCATGGGCATGTGTATTTTTTAAAAATCTGAATGTGACAGAGAGTCCATGTTGTATAGTGGCCAGGTTACTATTAATAATGACGTATTTGAAAAGCATGGTGCTTCTTGATTTTTAAACTACATAAAAGCTATATCTTTTCCCACTGAAGAAGAGGAAGTTATTCTACTCGATTGTAGCGGGGAGATAAGGGATATAAGAATGTAGGCAAAAATCCCCATAGTAGATCTGGCTGCTGTGGCTCAGTGGCCTGAGTGCCAGCCAGCAAACCAAAGGGTGGCCAGTTTGATTCCCAGTCAGGGCAAAAGCCTCAGTTGCAGTCCATGTCCCCAGTAGGGGGTGTGCAAAAGACAACCACACACTGATGTTTCTCTCTCTCTCTTTCTCCCTCCCTTCCCCTCTGTCTAAAATTAAATAAACAAAATCATTTTTCCTTTTTTTAAATATATTTTATTGATTATGCTATTACAGTTGCCCCATTTCCCCCCTTCACTCCCCTCCACCCTGTACACCCTCTCCCACCCATAAACCCCCCTTTAGTCATGTCCATGTGTCATACTTATGAGTTCTTTAGCTTCTAGATTTCCCATACTATTCTTACCCTCCCCCTATCTATTTTCAACCTACAATCTATGCTACTTATTCTCTGTACCTTTTTCCCCTCTCTCCTCCTTCCACTCCCCTGTTGCTAACCCTCCATGTGATCTCCATTTCTGTGGTTCTGTTCCTGTTCTAGTTGTTTGCTTAGTTTCTTTTGGTTTTGCTTTAGGTGTGATTGTTAATAATTGTGAGTTTGCTGTCCTTTTACTATACATGTTTTTTCTTTATCTTCTTTTCTTAGATAAGTCCCTTTAACATTTCATAAAATAAGGGCTTGGTGATGATGAACTCCTTTAACTTGACCTTATCTGAGAAGCACTTTCTCTGCCCTTCCATTCTAAATGAGAGCTTTGCTGGATAGAGTAATCTGGGATATAGGTCCTTGTCTTTCATGACTTGGAATACTTCTTTCCAGCCCCTTCTTGCCTGTAAGGTCTCTTGAGAAATCAGCTGACAGTCTGATGGGAATTCCTTTGTAGGTTACTGTCCCCTTATTTCTTGCTGCTTCTAGGATTCTCTCCTTCATTTTTACCTTGGCTAATGTAGTTATGATGTGCCTTGGCATGTTTCTTCTTGGGTCCAATTTCTTTGGGGCTCTCTGAGCTTCCTGGATTTCCTGGAAGTCTATTTCTTTAGCCAGACTGGGGAAGTTCTCCTTTATTGTTTGTTCAAATACGTGCTCAATCTGTTGCTTTTCCTCTTCCCCTTCTGGTACCCCTATAATTCGGATGTTGGAACATTTAAAGATGCCCTGGAGGTTCCTAAGCTTCTCCTCATTTTTTTGAATTCTTATTTCTTCATTCTTTCCTGCTTGGTTTTTTTTTCTTCCTTCTGGTCCACTCTATTGTTCTGAGTCCCAGTTTCCTTCCCATCCCTATTGGTTCTCCATGTATCTTCCTTCATCTCTTTTATGGTAACCTGCATTGTTTCATCTAATTTGCACCCAAAATCAACCAATTCTGTGAGTTTCCTGATCACCAGTGTTTTGAACTGTGCATCTGATAGATTGGCAATCTCTTGGTCGCTCAAAAGGATAAGCCCTGGGGCATTGATCTGTTTGAGATGTGTCGCTCCTGTCACGGTGAGGGGCGGAGCCTTAGGTGTTCACCGGGGCTGGGCACCCCAGTCGCTAGGTTGTGATGTTGTATGTGGGGGCAGGGGTGGGGCGGGAGGGAACAATGGCGGTAGCTCTGCTCTCCTGGGATCCTAGTCCCCTCCCTGAGATCCTGGGCTGCAGGCTCTGCCCTGGTTCACAATCACAGCCTCACTAGGTCCGCCAGTTGCCGCTTGAGTACTCAGGGTCCACCTGCTGCGATCTTGCGCGCCACCCGCTGTGATCCTACGTGCCCCGGATGGCCTACGGATGGCTCATGCCCTCCTGGTTGCCCTCTGCACCCAGTTCTCCCCATTCTCCACGCTCCGCGACCCAGGCAGGCTGCTGCTTGTCTCCGCCCCTCCTACCGGTCTGGATGAACGGGTCTACTTCAACTTCTTGGCTGTCTGACTTCCATTCAGAAAAATTCTCTGTCAGTTCTGGGTGTTATTCTGCGTCTAAATTGTTGTTGTTCTAATCTTGGTTGTACGTGGAGGTACGGTGCGTCCACCTATGCCTCCATCTTGCCGGAAGTCCTAACAAAATCTTTTTTAAAAATCCCCATAATAAATTATGTCACACAGCCCACAAGAGACAGTGAGTGGGATTACCATAATGACAGCTCCTGAGACCCCAAGTCATTTCATTTACAATTTGAAGCCCTGTCTCGCCAAAAGCGTGACTCTCCAATGAATATCTAGGATTCTTTCTAATGTACTGGTTTTAGAATCCAAAATATTTCCATAAGAGAACCACAGGAAGTCTTGTGTACTCTTGCAATGGAATAATGATCTGTCCTAACCCTATTCTCCTTGTTGGAAACTAAATAAAACAGAGCGTCACTCACACTCTCCTCCAGCCTCTCCAAGCCGCTCTCTGAGGTACCTTCATAAGAGCTCACCCCTGGATATGGGACACTGAGGACAGCGCCTAAGTAGAAAAGGAAAGACATGTGTATAAATCCAGTCCCTGACTAAGTCAGAATTTATATCATAAAATAAGGAATTGCCTACAAAACCATTCCATAAGGCAGCTGCTTTTTCATTCTGGAAATTCTATGCATTCTAACCCTATGACACATTTGCATAAAGTGTTCTCAGAGTAAGAAATAATTATGATTCATTCATTCATCCAACAAGCATTTACTGAACACCCAGTCTATGTCAAACTTCATGCAAGACGCTAGGGACACAGACACAGTTCCTATCCTTAAAGCGCCATTTATCTCTCTAGTAGCAGGGATAAATACTGAATGAAGTCGCACAGCCAGTGAGGGGAAATGGGAGAAGGCTGGAGACTAACCACAAATCAATCATTGCTGACGCTGGGCCTCAGTATGCTATTCTCATTTTTGCATACATTTGAAATTTCCAATACAGAGAGGCTTTTAAAAAATTGATAATAAAGAAGGCAACTACCAATTTACAGGAAATAGAGAAGTTAAAGGAACATGCTAAAGTACACCACAGAATGCAAGCGGGACAACCCTTGCTCTGGGAAACTGCACAAGACAAATCACAAGTGGTGAACCTAAAGGTTCCACCTGCTGACGTGAGCAGTGGGGACAGAGTGTTTGCCTCACAATAGTTCTCTAGGTCGTGCATTTGTTTTCAGCAGTTTTCTGATTTGTACCATATTCATTAATTAAAGATTTTTAAGTGCCCACAATGTAATACCATAAATTTGTTTTTAAATTACTTTTTCTTGAGGCTTATAAACAACATACATGGACAGAGAAACACAATACCTTTTAAATGAGAGCTGAAAAACAATTGCGAGCAAGATTGTGTTAAACCATAAATAATTTTAAAAGAAAAGTATGTAAAGGCACAAAAGCACACCTCCCAATGTGGAAGTCTCACCAACAGGAACGAGAGACGACAACTCAAGGCTGGGAAAAAAAAATGGCTGGAGTTAATAAAATGATAGAAATGTGAGGGTTTGTTTTTTTTTTTTTTTTCAAAAAGGAATTCAATAGATATTCATCATTTATTTATTTTATATTTATTGACTCGTACTCAACTAGAATCACACTATACAAAGTATTCCCATACTTATTATGCCTTTTCTCCCAGTTTTATTCTCAGTTCTTATCAGTAGGTGAAATTATTTTGTTCATTTATTATCTATTTCTTTATCTCTATCTCCAACCCCTTAATCCTCTAGAATGACATTGTCTAATATGGTAGTCACTATACATAGTTAGCGATTTAAATTAACTAAAATTAAATAAACTTTAAATGACAGTTCTTCATTCACACTAGTCACATATCAAGCACCTAGCAGTCACATGGGACCAGCGGCTGCCACATGGAACAGCACAGTGAAGAACACCCCGCCATCACGGAAAGCGCTGTTGGATGGGGCTGCCTTACGAGTCTAAACTCCGCGCGACCAGGGACTTTGCCTGCCCTGTTCGTGCTGTTCCTCCAGACTAAATAGTACCTGCTATTCAGCAGACATTAAATAGATATTTTTGAATGAGTGAATAAATAAATACTATTGACAATGGCAGGGTAGAAGACATGTGTCATACAGTTGTGAACAAAACATCCATGGCCTATGAAAGTCACAGTCCTATAGGAAGCAGAATAAATGATTATAAATACAAGTAGTACAGACTGGAAAGCACTGGCTTCTAAGAGGAACATACAAGCACAAATCTTATCTCACTTATAAGATCATAGAAATCACAAAATGTCTTTATACAAAGCAAGTGAAGCTCAGAGAGACGACTTGCAGAGGCCCCACTGCTGGCAGACCTCAGGCCTCCCGGCGGCCCTTCAACCACAGAGCTGCACGCAAAGGTCAAGACATAATCTGAGAAAGTCCCCACTTTATTTAAAGGAAAGAAAGTAGGTTTCTGCCACTCCAGATTTCCACATACTCAAAAATATAAAAATTGAATTATAGTATAATTTGGGGAAGTTTTAGAACTTTAAAGCTCCTTACATGCCCTGAGGGGAACAGGCTGCTCCGTTTCCCTTTTGCAAAGGTGATGGTGCAAAAGAGACGGTGATGACACCGGTTTTCAGCCCAGAGCCACTGAAACTCCTTCCAACTTGGCACAAGTCAGCCTCCTAAGGTGATCCAGTCACAGTTGGAAAAGTCTCCCCCACAGACTTGCCCGTGTGCCAGCAAGTCCCATCTTCAGAACAACTGCTTTAGACTGCCCCACTCTAAATTAGCTCACTGAGGGGTGGGGCAGGGGGTTGTCTCAAAGTTTCCAGACAAACATGGTACACATCTTTTTTTAATCCTCATGTCACCTGAGGGCATGCTTATTGATATTTTTTAATATTTTATTTATTTATTTTTAGAGAGAGGGGAAGGGAGGGAGAAAGAGAAGGAGAGAAACATCTATGTGCGAGAGATACATCAATAAGTTGACATTCGTACACAACCAACTGGGGACCTGGCCCACAACCCAGGCATGTGCCCTGACTGGGAATGGAACCAGCAACCCTTTGGTTCACAGGCCCACACTCAATCCACTGAGCCACACCAGCCAGGGTGCTTACTGATTTTAGAGAGGAGAAGAGAGGGAGAAAGAGACAGACAGAAATATCGATGTGGGAGAGAAAGATTGATCGGTTGCTTCTTGCACATGCCCTGACCAGGGACCGAACCCACGACCTAGGCACGTCCTAGGCACGACCTTGACCAGGAATCAAATGCAGAGTATTTTGGCTCAGGCAACAACACCCCAAACAGCTGAACCACACCAGCCAGGGTCATGGCAACATCGTGAAACTGCAATTTTACTTGGAGTATAGGCAGCTGGGGAGCTAAGAAACAACTGACATGTAATTTAAAATAATACTTTTAGAAATGTGGCCATATTATGGATAGCATATGAAGTTTAAATGAATATTAGATAACATATAGTTCAGAGACATTACATGCCTGGAGCTGGAGCGGGGCAAGTTAACTACGGCTATGATCCCTAAACCTCCACTTTGGCAGAAATTTTGAAAAATACAGGTTTGGTTTGTTTGTTTTAAATCTTACCATAATGATTCTTCTGGTTTTTAAAAATGCAATTGAAACAGGGAATAAAAACTTTATACTACTCTGACCTACCATAAAATGGAATTAGAGTAAGATATACTAACAAACTGATAAAAAGAACCCGAATATCAGTAGTTTCTTTGTAAGCACACTGCAGGTGCCAGCAGTTTCAGCTCCTGCTCGTACAAGAAACAGCCATGACCACGACTTTGGGTGATGCAGATCGCCCAACTCCAGGGACTTGCCTGGCACTGACCAGCTTCACAATGCTGACATTAAATATTCATATCGGGACCAGCAAGGATACTGACTGCACGTCCACAGCCTCTTCCCCTGGTGTCTTTGTCTCCTCGTCCCTCTCCCTCCTTACAAAACCCCCACCTGCAGTGAGATGTGGAGATGGGCTTTGAGATGAGAGTCCCCATCTTCCAGGTTGCCGGCACCTGAGTAAAACCTCTTGTCTCTACATCAGCACCTGCCTCTCTGGTACTGGCTTTCAGAGCAGCAGGCAGCCACATCGGCATTCGGTTACACTGTCTAAAAAATAACACACAGGGTCCGGCAGAAGTAAGGCTTGCTTGAGTGTGACTGGAAGGGTACGTGAATGTCTTGCATGAGATGGACAGCAATTTGAACATTTCACCTAAAATGTCACGTGGTGTGCTTGAGTGTGATATTGTTATGTTATAGAATTACATGCTTATGACTTTATAATAAAATATTTTGTAATAAAAAAGGGGCATTGTTTGTGCTGGACCCTGTGTTAAACCATTACATCAAACCTATCACTACAGGTTATTCATAGAGTATTTGTAGGAAACTGTTACTAAGGAGCTGTCATCTAGGAGAACCTAAAAAAACACATCATCAGGACAATTCATCATGCTGTGTGATGAGCAAAGGAAGGCCTAGGTGATGAGAAGCATCAGGAGGCTTCCTGGGTTACAGGAAGTGGATCTAACAAAATGGGATTTGGGTGAATTTGAAACAGACATTCAGGCCTGAATAGGACCTATCGATTGTCCACAGGGCAGAATTCCTTCTCACATCCTCATTTGTGAAATGAAAAAATGAGGCCCAAATGGGTCATTTTCCCAGGGTCACACAATAATGCACTATAACCCAAGGTCATACCTAAAACTACTAACTGTATCCAGTTCCCTTTTCAATAATAATAACAGAAGAATGATTGCAACTAAATTTACTAAGTCCTATTACCTAGCCCCATGCTAAGTACTTTATCTTAGATAACTCAGTCTTTGGAGGAAAATACTGTTACCCCCATTTACACAGATGAGGAAACTAATGCGGAAACTAATGAGAAGTAGTTAAGGATTTGCCCGTGGTCACACAGCTGACCAACAGCAGAGCTGCAATGTTAAGTGGGCCCACTGATTTCAGAAACCTCATTGTTACCCACTTTAATTCCTCACAACATGGCCCTTTTGTGACCCACAGTCTGTAGAAGGGCACCACAGTGGTTTTGCCTTATCTCAACGAGAGTGGCCTACATAAACAAAACAACCTGAAAGTCAAAGTGTGCAAGGTCCCAGAAAAAGGAAGGGAAACCCAGTCAGAGTGGGAGAGCTATGGAGAGCAGCCCGGTATGAAGAGCAAAGGGGTCACAGGAAGACAAAATGTCCAGAGCACAGCACAGTAACTGCAACAGAAAGTTGGAAGGACCAGAGAAACCAGACCTCACCTGGAGTTGGTCAAACTGTCCCCACATCAAAATCAAATTTATGCTAATTCTCTAAGTAAGCAATCGCAATGGAGAAGTTTGCTTACCTCAGTAAAATTAGATTTCACTTACTGAATTCAAAATAACATTTTTTAATGATGGTAAGTGGGCAACTCTCAGTAATTCAGATCACTTTTCTAACACTCCAACACTTAGTCCCTCACCCTCCCACTTTCTTTTCAGAATACAGTAAACAACATTTAACAACAAGAATCCTTTCACATATTCTCATTAGGTAGGCCTCCTGCAGGGCTCCTCTAAGATGTCACTCAAAATGAACTAGGACACAGAATTGTGTTGAGTTTGGAGACAGAGATGCTACTTCATTTCTGGGCCAAACCACAAATTTGAAGTTGTTCAGCTAAGACCTTTAGTTTAATTTCTGCAGCAAACAAACCCCTATGGTCTCATTTCCTCAGCTCTTCTAGCACGTAATTTATTTCTCACTGCTACAGCCTAATCATGTCAATGGAATTCAGGTGGGATTGTGTCAGAACATATCATAGCCACATGGAACAGAAATTTAAAAATACAGTGAGCCCTGGCCAAGCAGCTCAATTGGTTAGAGCACCATTCCGATAGGCCAAGGTTGTGGGTTCAATTCCCAGTCAGGGCACATACAAGAACCAACCAATGGTCCTGGCTGCTGTAGCTCAGTGGATTGAGCATGGGCCTGCAAACCAAAGGGTTGGTGGTTCAATTCCCAGTCAGGGTACATGCCCAGGTTGCAGGCCAGGTCCCCAGTAGGGGGTGCATGAGAGGCAACCACACATTGATGTTTCTCTCCCTCTCTCCCTCCGCTCCCCTCTCTCTAAAATAAATAAAATCTTTTTTAGAAAGATGAAAAAAAGAATCAACCAATGAACACATAAATAAGTGAATGAGAAATCGGTGGCACACACTCTCTCTCCACCCGCTCCTCTCTCTCTCTAAAATCAATAAGTACATTAAAAAAATAGTGAAACAAGTCAAGCATAATCTCCTGTCTAGATCACTACCACCCTTGACAAGTTTCTATGCTTTGCTGTGTTTTGTTCTTAACTCTGGTCATTGTAATCTGCATTGTAATCTGCAACAAAAGAACTCAAGGCACAGAGCCAGGAACCCCGGGTGCTGGTCCCAGATGTGTCATTAACTTCATGTATGAGGAAAAATATCTCGGTTGCTCTGGGCCCGAAGAACCTCATCTCCAAAACAGAATCACCTCCCTGCTCTATTTTACAAAGGTATTAGTGGAAACTAGACAAAATATTATGTGCAGAAGCATTATGAAAAGTATGGAATGCTAAACAAATCTAGGAGAAAATGGGGTGTACCAAAGCAGTGGCATGTGTCATCCCACACAGAATTTTAAAAAAATGTATATTTGCCTTTGTGCTATATGACAGGCACCCTCAACTACAAATGTAAGTTCACTGAAGTACCAAAAAAAAACAAAACCCAAAGAAGAATCCTTGCACTGAGACTATTGCCAGAGGCCACCTCAGACTTGGGTGACTAGGCAGAAATTCAGTTAATTCATATAACAAATATTTAATGGGCACATATCCTAGTGCAAGCGTTATACTGGTTATTGAGGATATGACAGTAAGACCAGATAGCAGGGGTTAAGCAGCAACTGGAGCTACGTGGAGATGCTTTCAAGATGTCAGGCTGTAATGGAGACAAGTGTTGGAGGGAAGGCCATTTGTAAACAGGTCACACGGCAGAGACTTGAGCATGTTTAAATGTTAATGGGGATGAGTTACTAAAAGGACAAGCTGAAGACCCAGGAGAAAGAGAGAAATAATGACAGGCAGAGATTTCTAAAAGGTAAGACTGGATATAAGGTCCTGAGTAAGGAAGGAAATAGTTTGGGGTTTTTGTTGTTGTTGTTGTTGTTGTTGCTGTTGTTTAAGAGTTAGCAGATGACAGTAGGGTGAGCTTAAAACAGCACATAGCTGAGTATTTGGTACAAGTCATATGCCAGCAGATGGGTAAGAATTCCCATAGAATAAGCAATTTAAATTACAGAAAGAATTGTGGTAGGCAGAACAGTGGCATCCCAAACACATCCACATCCTCATCCCCAGAGCCAGTGAATAATGTTCCTCACAGGGGAATTGTGGTTGAAATTAACACTGCTAATCATTTGGCCTTAAGGTAGGAAAAAAATATACTGGTTTCTACAGGCAGGTGTTGGGAACCACCCTGCCTGGTTTCAGGAGCTATAACCACCCCATGGCTAAGGCTGAGTGAGTGACCTTTGGACCAGAAGCCACTAAGGAGACAAAGCTTATCTCCCTGGCAGGGGCACCACCTCTATTCCTTTCACTTTACTCTGCCTGGCCCCTAGTGCTTGATCAGTTAGCCAATGACAGGTAAGATTCCTTAAAGGAAAAACGACCTAGAACAGGCACGATCATGGGAAGCCCAAGGGAAGGACATGGGGGGCTACAGAAAAAGGGGTGATGGACCCTCGCCCCTCGGCTTTGCCATAGCCTGAGTCCTCATTCTGTCTGCAGGAAGTCTCCCAATCTCTTGGCTGCCTTACTTCCCCTGCCTGACTTAACCTGAAACAGTGCCTTAAGCCTGAAACAATGCTGGAGGTGAGTGCAGTCCTGTGCTGGAAAGGGTGGGTTCCCTGGGACGATCAGGCCTAAGAAAGAATGTGTAAAATCCTGTGAAACCTGCTTTGCTAATACCCTCAATTTAAATAATAAGGGACCAAGCAGGAAGTGAGTTTGTTTCCCCAAAATTTTATGGCCCTTTAACTATCTGACCCTGACTCAGAATAAGCCCTCAGAGTTCTTTGAGTGTTATCTATTGTTTAATAATTTCTGTCTGACAATGACTGATGAACTTTATTCCTGTGCAAATTGAAGCCAATAAACACCTGTCAAGGCAAGGGTTGGGGCACTCTCCCCTTGAGAGAGTGGCCACGCTGTCCCTTTTCCTCCACAGGACTCAGTAGTCTGTGTGAATTTCTCTTGTCTCATCCATAACGCCACAGAAACTGTGGGCCAGTGTCTGCATCAGGTGGGCCCAATAGAACCATAAGAAGCCCTAAATGCAGTGGAGGGAGACAGGAGAGTGTCAGAGTGATGGACTGTGAAAAAAGACTCGACCAGCCATTGCTGGCTTTGAAATGGAAGGGGGTCCGAAGCCAACCAATATGGTCAGCCTCTAGAAGCTGGAAAGGGCAAGGAAACAGTCTTCCCTAGGAGCCTCCAGAAGGGACACGGGTGTGATAATACTTTAAGGCCAGACTTTTAAACTGGAGCTGTAAGATAAATTGTTCTTTTAAATTACCAAAGTTTGTGGCCAAGTTTTACAGCAGCAACAGAAAACTAATACAAGAGTCTCTTAACAAAAAGAATATGAAAATGGTCTCCAACAATCATAAAAATATATCTGAATATTAAAAAATGATAGGCAAATTAAGGGTTTTTAAGGGATCACTATAGTACTCAAGTCAAAGACAGATGGGCTTGGTGAATTCTTAGCTCTCCCATGTCACCTAACTTCAGGGTCGCCCCGGATCCACAACTCCCACCCTGGCCCAACCTGGTCTGCTCTAGTCTCATGGAAAGGACAAAAACTTTTAAATTCTCAGATTTTAATTATCTATCTATACACACACACATCTTTTTTAAATCATGACATACAGTCTTTTGTATCTGGTGTCTGATGTCTTTTATTTAGCACAATGCTTTTGAGGTTCACTGTGTTGTTACCAGTCACACAAAGTACATGCATCCATCGTTCATTCCTTTTTTATTGTTGAAGAGTATTCTTTTGTATGAAAAAATTCAGTTACATTTTAATTCAGATGTACTGTTAATTTTATACATGCCTTATTTTCTAAGGATAGTGAACAATACTTTGAGCCCCCTCTTATACCTCATACAGTGTTTTATCAATAAAAATATATGGTACCGTCCATTCTGCAATGATGCTTATTTGTAAATTCATTCCAATGTGATTAATATACTAGGAAATAATTGAGCATAATGCAAATCTCTCCTTTGTGTATACGCAATTTTGCTGCAAGAAACACTGGTGAATACAGAAAACAGTGCCTAGTTAAAGTGAGCAACACACACACACACACACACACACACACACACGCAACGCACATGCGCACATGCACACCGCACCTCAAACGCCTCCCAGCTACCTCAGTGCACCCCCACGCGTCGGGAGCTGCACCCACCCTCCGACACTGTCACAACTTCCCATCCTACATCAGATAACCCTCCCTCCGCCACTCTGTCATTGCCCACAAGCTACAATCTTTCCAATGTCCACTTCCCCAAGCAAACTTCAAGGCTTCTTCCAGGTTAAGAGCCATATTTATTCAGTATTTATGGACTTCTTAACCACATGAGTTCTGCGAGATGGGGATCATTTTCATTGGGTACAAACACGAAGATCACTGGCCCTGGCAGCACTCACTAGATTACTTAGTTCCCTGCCTGCGTGTTGCAATGGCAACCACAAGGGAGCTCTGAGTTCTGCCTCACAGTGGTGACAACTCCACACTCGAGAAACCACACCTAAGTAGGTGCCCACACCTAAGTAGGTGCTCAGTCTCTGGCCCCAGCCTAGACTCAGTGACAACATTAGCCATATGAATAAGTTAGACCACCAAAAGGCCTATTACCTTCCTATTTCCTCCTGTTCGATTTGAAACGTGCATACACCACGCTATCACCCACACGTACACTCCAGCTCTACCTTTGCCTGGACTCAGCTGCCCAGGCTGCATCTCTGGACACTGACTCACCTGCTTGGTTTTTCAATGTTCTTCCCTGTAATCTGAGGCAAACTCCTGGACCCCACCTGGATTTCATGCCCTAGCTGTGCTTTTCTAAACAATCCCCCATATGCTGGCATAATCTAGATATTCTGACTATGGATAGAACCTGAAATCTTAGCCCCTGTAGGCTCAAAGTCTCTCACTTTCCATGCCCTGTTTGTCCTGGTACTGCTCAGGAGCCAGAAATGACCTTACCTCTAAACCTAAAGGTCAATGAAGCCAAAATTCCTAACACTGGAGGACTGATTCATCAAGGCTGTGCTATTCCTAGACTTCAAAATCATAATTATCATTCCACAATAAAGTGATCCACACCACTACCCATGATTTAATGAACTATCCTCCACTAAGTGGTACCATTTCAGAGCCATTTTATCATTAGCCTGTAAGCCTCCACAACAGTAGATCATCCCACATTCCATTTCCTGACACCTAATTCTTCACCCAAGAGACAGGAACAAGTCTTCCTCCTGGTGAGGTGAGACAGTAAACAAGCACAGTGGCTGTGGGGTGGTCTGGGAAGGGAGTGGCCTTGGATGAGGAAAAGCATTTGAACTTACCCACAGGCCTGGTCATTGCAGGAACTGGCAAGAAAATAGAAAGGGACCGTTACATTGCGGGTGAGTCTTGGGGTAGGTATGATACATCTCTGTTGCCAAACGTGAACTTATGGGAAAAAAACACTTACCCACTTACAGTTTCCTTTGTGTATGCCAGTTTCTAAGGAAAACAAAGATAATTTAAAAAAAAAAAAAGACTGAGTTAATGACAGTTAATAAACTGTAAATATAAAACTTGTTGCACAGAGAACACTAATGCCCTAACACTATAGAATCTATGTTATTATTCTCTATAGCTAGACAAATAAGTAAAGCAAAGCACTAATGATGCCAAGTTTGTTCTATGACTGTGAGAACGTCCCTACATGTAATCTCTGTTTATGTGCCCAAAAGTCCCCATGTTCTCTTTTAATGGGCAGAGATTAATAGATGTTACCTGCTAATCATTCCAAAATAGTCTACAAAAATTAGAGATTGGTAGTGTCACATTAACCTCCCATGAACCTGGAATCAAAGTACTTTGTGATGTGACATATTTATAGTAACTCTTATCCTAGAATAATATAAACACATAGATAAAATGGCAAATCTGCTTCTCCAAAATTCATACAAAAAGACAAATTGTATTAATTATTGGATTATGCCTCTGTCACATTCCAAAGCAAATTGTGCCCAAATTCCCTCTAAATTAGTGGTTTTCTGTTGAGACCAATATGATAAAAATAACACTAATAACTAGGAGTCAGAAGACCTAGTTTCAAGTCCCACAGAGGCAAATCCTCAAATCTCTCTAGTGTTAGGCCTCAACTTCCTCATATGTAAAATGGAGAGACTATTATTCTAAATGACTCACTGCTCTTCTTACTCTACAGATTCTCCTAGAACAATCTCAGCCACTCTCATGGTTATAATTACCACCTCAAGGCTGGTGATCCCTATCGCTATATTTATAACCACTGTCCATATCTTTATATCTAAATACCAAACAATTCATATTTCATAGACAGCTCAAATCAACACTTTTGAAAGTGGACTCATTCTCCCTCCACCTACCACCCACAAAGCTGCTTCCCCACCTGAGTTCTCGGTTTTAGTCATCCAAACTAGAAACCAGGAGCATCCTTGGGCCACTCTCATCCTATCCCACTCTCACCAATCCATGACTTCAACCAAACAAGACTGCATATGAGTAATCTTGTTTCCCACTGATGTCTCGCATGCCCTCTTTGTCTAGTTCATGGTCTAGTGAGCACCCGCATCACCTCGGATCTGGAGCGCTGAAGCAGCATCCAACCTGGTCTCTGCTCCAGTCTTGTCCCCTCTATTCCCTCCTATGGTGTATAGAAACCATAATGACTTTTTTTTAATTGAAAACTACCAGCCCCTGTGACTCACCTACTTAAAACCCTTTGACAGTTTCCTATTTTCTAGAGTGTTAACTACAAACTTGTTAAGTTATCCATCTTTCCAGTCTGATCTCCTTTCACTTTTGACATATTGACCCAAGTCATTCCCTACAAACACTTGGCTCATGTTGTCCCCTCTGCCCAGAGTGTCCATCCCTTCAAACTCCTTCTCCTTTACCTAATTTGTAGTCATTATTTAAGATGTAATCCAGATAACACACTATACCTTTGTCTGAATGTTCTACTAAATAATTATTGAAGGTAATTATGCCTTTATAATTCAATCCTATGCCTTTATAACTAAACTTACTAAAATTTCTACTTGTAAGAAACTGCACTTCAGGCAGAAGCTGACCCTGAACTGTCTGCCTGCACTATGTTCTCGCCATCTGAACCAGCCCTTATAAAGGAGTTCCTGGAATCCTATTTCAACCAATAGGACTGAGGCATTCCCCATCCAATCAGAACTGCACAGCTATAGCCCCATCAGCTTCTTCACCAACCAATCAGAGCAGCTCCATTCTAACCAATTGGGACAGTGCCTTTTAGGCCAATCTAACTGCAAAAGGTATTGGAGGCCTCATTTGCATGAGGACAAACCAATCAGGGACCAGGGGCAGAGACTTCTGTCTATATACGTCAGCTCCCCAATGGCTCTGGGAGCAAACCTCCCTTTTCCACTCTAGACTGTGTATCCTCTGCTGAGCTGAAACACTGAAGATATCTCATTCAAGCGGATTAGACCACACTGGGGCTCAGAGTAGAGCAGAACAGACCAGTGAGGAGCTGAATGGAGTTGTTTAGCTGGAGAAGGGCCTGGCCCCAGTGCCACCTGGCTCCAAGGCCAGCTGGTTCCAAAACACAGCCACACTGTTTTTACACTGTTTACAGTTTTGTATCACAATTGAGCTATTTTACACTGAATAAAGTTTCCTTCTTTACTGCACCCCAAATCAGGAATTTCTGCATTGAACTGACACCAATGAAGACCATCGGTAGACTCAATGTAACATCACAAGAGGCTGTTATTATGGGATGATAACTGTACATCATATATATCTGCTGCTCCATCAGTTGATTCTGTATCAGGAACACAGTGAAATGGATAGTGCTGATATAAATGTGTATGTGTGTACATTTCTTTCACTCATTGAACAGCCATTCCATTTTAGCCACTGCAAGATGCAAAACTGGTAATGATGGAGAAGGGGACCACTGGTTTAAGGAAAAAAAAAACATGGATTTTGGAAAAGGGAACTGGGTCTGGGTTTTAGCTTCAGCCTACCTGGTTTTGTGATATAGGATAAGATATTTAATAACTCTCAGAGATTTACACTTTTTAGCCTAAATCTTTGCTGAGTACTATATCCAAATATTTCTATTTATAAAGAAGGCTGAGGCTCTGGACTTCCAGCCAAGATGGAGGCGTAGGTAGATACACTTTGCCTCCTCACACAACCAAATGGACAACAACAAATTTAAAAACAAAAAATAACCAGACAGCCAGAAAATCAAACTGTATGAAAGTCCGACAACCAAAGAGTTAAAGAAGAAACAGTCATCCAGACTGGTAGGAAGGGCAGAGATAGGCAGCTGGGGTGGAAAGGACTCAGACTCGCAGCAAGGCAGCAGCTGGAGGACTGAGCATTCCAACATTTGACTAGAGATAAACCAGGAGGAACACAGACCATGCAACCAACCCAGGGTTCCAGCATGAGAAAATAAAGCCTTAAAACCTCTGGCAGTAAAATCTTGTGGGATTTGTGGCAGTGGGAGAAACTCCCAGCATAGTTTGTTGGAGAGACCCACAGGGTACTAGAATGCACACAAACCCACCCACCCAGGAATCAGCACCAAAAGGGCCCAATTTGCTTGTGGGTAGCAAGGGAAGTGACTGAAAGCCAGCAGAGAGTGGAGCAAGCGCCATTGTTCCTTCTCAGACCCCTCCCCCACATACAGCACTACAACGCAGAGAAGACGTTTGCCCTGCCCTGGCAAATACATAAGGCTCCACCCATTACTACGTACATTCAGGCACACTGAGACAAAAAAATACGTCCCAAATAAAAGACCAGATCAAAGCTCCAAAAATAAAACTAAGCAATGAAGAGATAGCCAACTTATTAGATGCAGAGTTCAAAACACTGGTAATCAGGATGATCACAGAAATGGTGAAATATGGTCACAAAATGAAGGAAGAAATGGAGGCTATACAAAGTAAAATAAAGAAAAATATACAGGGAACAGTGAAAGGAAGGACCTTCCCTCAGACCCTTTCCTCAAATCAACAATTTGAAGCAGAAGGCAGAAAGAAACATTCGACCAGAACAGAATGAAGACACCAGAATTCAAAAAAAATGAGGAGAGGCTTAGGAACCTCCAGGACAACTTTAAACATTCCAACATCCAAATCATAGGGGTAGAAGGAGAAGAGGAAGAGCAAGAAATTGAAAACTTATTTGAAATCATAATGAAGGAGAAATTCCCTAATCTGGCAAAGGAAATAAACTTCCAGGTAGTCCAGGAAGCTCAGAGAGACCCAAAGAATTTGGACCCAAAGAAGCACAAACCAAGGCACATCATAATTACATTGCCCAAGATTAAAGTTAAGGAAAGAATCTTAAAAGCAGCAAGAGAAACAGAGACAGTTATCTACAAAAGAGTTCCCATAAGACTATCAACCGATTTCTCAAAAGAAACCTTGCAGGCAAAAAGGGACTAGAAAGAAGTATTCCAAGTCATGAAAGGCAAGAACCTACATCCAAGATCGCTCTATCCAGCAAAGCTTTTATTTAGAATGGAAGGGCAGATAAAGTGCTTCCCAAATAAGGTCAAGTTAAAGGAGTTCATCATCACCAAACCATTATTATATGAAATGTTTAAGGGATTTATCTAAGAAAAAGAAAAGGACCTAAAATATGAACAGTAAAATGACAACAAACACAACTATCAACAACTGAATCTGAAACAAAAACAAAAATAAACTAAGCAAACAACTAGGACAGAATCACAGAAATGGAGATCACACGGAGAGTTATCAGCAGGAGAGGGAGGGTGGAGAATGGGGGAAAAGGTACAGGGAATTTGAAGCATAAATAGTAGGTAGAAAATAGACAGGGGGAGGTTAAGAATAGTATGGGAGCCCTGGCTGGTGTAGCTCAGTGGATTGAGCGCGGGCTGGGAACCAAAGTGTCACAGGTTCGATTCCCAGTCAGGGCACATGCCTGGGTTGCAGGCCAGGTCACCAGCAACCGCACATTGATGTTTCTCTCTCTCTCTTTCTCCCTCCCTTCCCTCTCTAAAAATAAATAAATAAAATCTTTAAAAAAAAAGAATAGTATGGGAAATGGAGATGTCAAAGAACTTATATGTACAAACCATGGACATGAACTAAGGGTGGGGAATGCTCGTGGGACAGGGGTTGCAGGGTGGAGGGAAATAAAGGGGGAAAAAATGGGACAACTGTAATAGCATAATCAATAAAATATATGTTAAAAAATTAAAAAATGCTATTTGCATATCAGTCTTGGTGTGGGCGTATTTTCACATTTGTTCTTGGGTAAATACCTAAGATTAGAATTGCTGGGTCATAAGGCATGTATATTTTTACTGCGTAGGACACTGTCAAACTGTTTCCTAAGTGCCCATACCATTTCTCCATCTCATTTACAATGTACTGGAGTTCAAGTTTGCCTTTTTCCTTTTAACAGCTGGAGTGTAATTGCTGGACAAAAAGAACAATAAAGCAAATGTAATAAGTGTTAATTGATGAATTTGACAGAGTGTATAGGTTTTCATTTTACCACTCTTTTTGTTTATTTTTAAATTTAAAAAAATCAAATAAAAAGCTGGGAGAAAAACTAAAAAAGAAAAGGCTGAGGCTCTTACTGAATTCACAGTGTTTATTATAATGGCCAGAGTGACGCAGGGATTTACTGCTTGTTCTTTTTTCCTTTAGGCCCTAGCTATATATACACACTCTGACAATAGTCCAGCAATTCCTTCCCTTGTTACCACACTTACCTTCATAATTAGGCTTGTATGTTCCACAGACTGACTAAAATTTGTGCCCATTTCAAATATAGTTGTGATTCCACCCTCACACAAATCCATCCAGTAACGATACTCCTCATGCCCAGGAAGTCGATCCCAAAAAGTCCTGAAGGCTTCCCAGACAGCTTCTTGACACACTGAAAAAGAGACAGAGGGATCTTTTAATAAAATGTTAACACACTTTGGGGGCCTCACAGTGAGCATGGACCTATTTATGCAGCTTCCTAAGACACTCTTACCTACACTGTCCTTTCTGGAGGGACATGGGAATGAATCTTAGTCAAAGCCCTTCTGTAGCTGCATGTCCACTTAAACTTTCCAGTTCTGAAGAGAATTTTTATTCCCCATTCCTTTCCCTTACAAAGGGGATTGATTCACCTCTTAGTAGGCAGGGAGGTTTTTTCCCATCTTTTTAAAAGAAAATCCATGTTTATGTTTTACAAAAGTGGAGCTGATGTTAAGCATACTTCAGTAGGTGCATGGATAAAGAAACTGTGGTACAACCATATGATGAAATACTATTCAGCAATAAAAAGAAATGAGATTTCAAGCCATGAGAAGACATGCAAGAGTGAAAGAAGCCCATCTGAATGTAGATGCCAACTATATGATATTCTAGAAAAGGCAGAACTCTGGAAATTGTAAGTAGACCAGCAGTTGCCAGGGGCTGGGGTAGGGAGAGATGACTAGATAGAGCACAGCAGATTTTTAGAGCAATAAAACTATTACACAAAATAGTGTAATTGTGAATATATGCCATTAATCATCTGTCAAAACCCACATGAAGAGTAAACCCTAATGTAAACTGTGAACTTTGGAGAAGGGCACGTGTCAGTACTGGCCCATCCATTGCAACACATGTGACACTGGCACAAGGTGTGAATAAGAAGGGAAAGTGGTGGGGGCGGTGGCCACACAGGTAACTCTCTGGACTTTCTGCTCGATGTTTCTGTAAACCTAAAACTTCCCTAAAAATAAAATCTATTAATTTAAAAAAAAAAAACATGAGAACTAAAAAGAACAGAAAAATGCTCTTCAGGAGAAATGCCCTACAGTAGTAAAATAAAAACTAATTGAATCTATCTGCTAAGTTGTTCCATAGCAGGAAATCCAAAAGGATGCTCAGCAGGCCATCTGCACATTCTGTATATCACTCAGTGTCCTGCTGTCCTGTAACCATTTCAGTGGCCAGATGCAGGACACTGGGCAATAGACAGACTGGGATAGGAGGGAAGAGGGGAGTAATAAGAGAGAAAGAAGGGTATAAATGGACAGAGATCAAAGAAATTATTTTTCATCTCAAGAAGACAGAATACTTATCCGGCAGCATATTGAGGTGAAGCCCCTAAACTCCCAGGCTCAGAAGATCTAAATTCTAGCCCTAGGTTTGCCAAGTACGAGCTCGATAACCATAGGGAAATTACTCAGGCAGTCAATACCTGGATATATTCATCTATCTTTTTTATGCTATAAATAATTCCTACCCTACTCACCTTATCTGTGAAAGTAATTGATAAACTGCACAGTGCTACACGAATGTCAGATGTTATTATAATATTGCATTCTGGTCTTCTGACAGTTGTGCAATGCAAAAAGACCATCTGAGACAAAAAATCAACTTTGAAGCTTTAACAGAGAGTGAAATATTTGAGTATTGTAGGTATCTCTATCAGCTGGTTTTTCACGGTTGAACTGAAGCTTGGGCTGCAAACTTAAATTCTCTTTCAGTGAAAACTATATACTTATTAGTACTCTTTAGAACTTTTGACCCTACAACATACAGAACAGTCTGGCAGGGCCTGACTGAGGCAGCACTGATCATTTGTAGAGTCATAGCTGCTCCCTTCTTCTTCTTTAAACTTCTAAATGAAAATTCAGTAAAGACCAGAAGACAATGCAAAAGTGAAAGTCAGAATTGGTAAAAACACGGAAAAGTGAATGTCTATAATATCTGGTTATAAAATGAGGTGATTCTGAGAAAGTACAAAAAAATATTATGAGACCAAATAACTATATATCTATAAAGAAAGAAAAAATAAATCTCAATCACTTCTTCACAATATACAGAAAAAATAATTTAAAATAGGAAAGCTAAGACTATGAAGGTCCAAAAAGAAAACACAGAAGAGTATCTACATGATTTAAGTATAGGTAAAGATTCTGTAGACAGGACACAGAAAGCAACAACTACAAAAGAAAAAACTGAAATTAGAATTCATCAAAACTAAAAACTTCTGCTCATCAGAGACACTATTAATAAAAATGAATAAGCAAGCCATACCTCTGGCATAAAATATTCAAAATACATATATCTGACACAGAACTGGATTTATGATATTTAAAGAATTCCTGCCCTGGCTGGTATGACTCAGTGGACTTGAGTGCCAGCCTGCGACCCAAAGGATTTCTGGTTCAATTCCCAGTCAAGGCACATGCCTGGGTTGTGGGCCAGGTCCCCAGTAGGAGGAACCACACAGTGATGTGATGTTTCTCTTCCTCTTTCTCCACCCACCTCATCCTCTAAAAATAAATAAATAAAATCTTACTTAAAAATAAAAAAGAATTCCTACAACCCACTAATTTAAAAGAGAAAAAAATTCTATTTTTAAAAATAGGCAAAAGACTGGAACTGACACATCACAAAGGAAGAGACACAAACAGCCAGTGACTGTGGGGAGAAGTAATTTGTCTTCAAATGTAAATTAAAGCATTGACACATGAACCAGAATGACTAAAATTTCTTACAACAACAACACCAAATTTTGGCAATGATGTGAAGCAACCAGAAACTTCATTTTTGGCAAGAATGTAAAATAGTACAAGTATTTTGGAAAAAATATAGGTAATTTCTTATATAAGTAAATATAACCAAAACTATGACCCAAAAATATCCCCCCTGCAGGTATTCCTTCAGGATGCAAGAGGTAAGAATATATCCACAGAAAGACTATGTTGAATACCAGAGCAATTTTATTAATAATAACTTAAAAACAGAAACAACCCAGGTATCCGTCAACAAGAGAACAAACAAAAGGTCACACGATGGAATCCAAAGGAACAGATTACTAATTAATGTGACCACATGGGTGAATCTCCAACAGTGAATGAAAGAAGCCTTACACGAGAGTAAATACTATTCTGTCTAAATAAAGACCTAGACAGTTGAAACTAAGCTGTGGTTTAAAAAAAATTAGAAGACTCTTTGCCTTGTGGATGGGGAATGAAGGGATGCTTGTCTGGGAAAGAGAACAGGGGAGTTTTCTGGTGTGATGCTGTCCTAAAATTTAAGAGAGTTTTGGGTTATACCTGTGTGTACATTAGTCAAAACTGTATGGTATGCTTAAGATTTATACATTGCACCTTTAAAAAGGCAAACAAATATTAAGCTCTAGTTAATGATACTCATGCTATCATGTCTAAGGAAAAATGTATTGTTGTCTTTAACTTAAAATACATCCAAGAAATAAGATGATTGGATAGATAAATATGTGATAAAGCAAATATAATAAAATTAAGTATAGAGCCAGGTGGTAAGAACATGGTATTTACTATATTATTCTTCCAATTACTCTGTATGTTTACAATTTTTCACAAACTCTTAGAAAAACATTATTATATGATGAATAAACGCAGCTGGAGCATCCAGAAGTGATAGGAATCATACCAAGTTTGACAGCAGGCCTTCTCTCGCTCTCTTTCACAGATTCACAGAACAGCATAAGCTGTCTCCAACAAATCATGCTTCAGGGGATGTCGCCGACCTCCTACAAAAAGCCCTCAGCAATAAGTGCTGGGCTTAAAATATCTCCACTAGAAATTCATTCTTTTAACTCAAGCTTAACCATTTTATACCTTGTCTGTTAAAATGCAAACCCCAGAGTTCTATTTCCAACACGAGAGAGTGAAGAGCTACGTGGACCTACTTCCCAGCAAAACTGGTAGAAATTATTTAAAAACTAGCCATTCAAAATGTCTAGAAATGGTCCTACAGGCATACAACAAGTGAATAAACATTTTTTCAGGAAAATCTACTAAACTTCAGTAAGAAAAATAAAAGTCAGTGGTTCAAGCCAGGGCAATTAGGTAAGAAAAGGAAATAAAGAATATCAAATGCAGAAAGGAAAAAATAACACTATCTATATTTGCAGATGGCATGAGCTTGAATAAAGGACATCCTAAGAAATCTACTTAAAAACTAAGAGAGCTGGCCCTGACTGGCATAGCTCAGTGGATTGAGCATGGGCTGCAAACCAAAGTGTCGCAGGTTCAATTCCCAGTCAGGGTACATGCCTGGGTTGCAGGCCATGACCCCCAGCAACTGCACATTGATGTTTCTCTCTCTCTCTCTTTCTCTCTCCCTTTCCTCTCCAAAAATAAATAAATAAAATCTTAAAAAAAAAAAAAAACTAAGAGAGCTAATAAATGAGTTCATCAAGACTTCAGGACATAAGGTCAGTCTACAAAAACCAGACACATGTCTATGCATCAGCAATTAACAAACCAAAAATGAGCATAAGAAAACAATTAAATTTATAAAAGCATAAAACAAAACAAAACAAAATAAAATACTTGGGAATAAATTTAACAAACGAAGTAAAAAATTAATATGCTAAAAACAAAAAAAATTCCTTGAAAATCTAAAATAAATGGAAAACCTTCCTATGTTCATGGATTGGAAGACTTAACATTATTAAAATGGCAATATCTACAAACTAATCTATCAAACATTGGCTAACTTCTTTATAGAAATTGAAAAATTAATTCTAAAACTCAAAGGAGTTGCAAAAGACCCAGAATAGCCAAAACAATTTTGAAAAAAGAAGAATAAATAAATTGAAAGTCATCAAAATTTTAAAAAAAATTTGTCCATGAAGGACACCGTCAAGAAAGTGAAGGCAGCCTTGGCGCTGTGAGGTGCTTGGGAGCTGGCAAGCAGCGCCCGGTCTGCAGAGCTGGTGCTGCCCACTGTGGGGAGGCTGAGCTGGGAGGGGTGGAGAGTGGTAGGAGCCAGGCAGGGTGCTGGGAGAAGGAGGAGGTGGCCCGTGAATCCCTATAAATGGTGCTGAAACAAGACTCAAAACCCTAAATTCCAGGAGGGTGAGCAAGCACTGTCCTTTCATAGGCCTCTTCTTTATGA